TACGCCTAACCTCAGCATTGCTAGTCCGGTTACCCCACCAGACACGTGCAATGCTACGTAGACAGCGGTGTTCAAACACCGACAATCTATTTTTATCCTGTTCCTTTAGTGACCAAGTCTCCGCACCGCATAGCAGAACTGGCCGAACTATCGCGGCATACACTCGACCCTTCACAGACAGCCGGATATCGCGACGGCGCCACAGATGTCTTAAGTTGGCAAATGCCAACCGAGCCTTCTGTATGCGAGCTGACACTTCATCCGTGATGCGTCCACCGGGTGGCATTTGAATGAAGGGGTAGAAGATTGAAAAGTTGAAAGCAGTGTCAAAAGGAAAACGGAAAATTCCGGTAGACTAAAGCTATGAAGAAAAATGAGAACGTGCACAAGCACCACTGTTTACAACACTCAGCCATACTCCTTAATGTTCGTAATCCCGCGCTTCTCAACCAGGGAACTTAACACGAACTATTTGACCGATTCTCCGAGTCAAACTTTCACACCCTCGTGTCAGGTATTAATTTGACCACCCCTGGCTTTTTCCACATACGACTGCAACATTAGAAGATGAAACGAATATACGCGTTATACACTAAAAACTGAGCGGAAATGAAGAACCGTCAGGGGCGGGATTAGAAACCGACCTTGCACGCAGCCCGTGAAGCAGGTGAAGAAATACAGGAAAACCATGAAAGGGGACTGAAAGAGAAAGATCCAAGAGAATGCATGTGTTCGTGTAGCTGAGGGATGAACTCGACGTGAAACTCAAGGAAAGGTTGACGTTTGCGGAAGATTATCACGAGGTAAGTCTTCGAAGCATTGAAAAGAAAATTCTTTTCGAAACCTCAGGCGAATATTGTTCCGATGGCAAGGGAGAGGCTGAGGGAACAACAGTCGTCATCGATGCTGGCGTCGGTGGAAAGAGAGGAGGGATAAGAGGGCGAACAGTGTATTGCCCGTCATCAACGATTGCATATTTTAAGTTACCAGTCATGGAATTAGACCGTTTTGTGAAAACGGTGGACAGTTAGTGGAAGCGGGTAATTTCGTAAGCATTCCTTGAAGCCAGTCACAGTCGAATGCTTTCGAGACGAGAACAGACATCTCCGTGTTTTTCGAATGAAGCTAGCCGATATTGAGGAACTAGATATAGCAGATCGCCGATGGAACGACAAGGTCGAAAGCCAGATTGGCGATTGGTCAGAAGTGTTTCATGTCCGAAGGGTAATGAAGTTGGTCAGTAATGACGGTTTCCATTACTTTCAGTGATGGAAATGGAGAGTTGGAATGGAAAGGTTTGTCATGTTTGATAATGGCAAAGATCACCATTTCTTTTCGGAAGACTCAGAAACTACACTAAACTGCAGACTGTGGGACGAAATAAATGGCCGGGGAGGACCCAATATGGAGGGGCACGTTTTGGGAAGAATAAGGATTAATCGCGTCTGGGCCGGGTGGTTTGTGGATGGTAAGAGACAAAAGGATCTGTCTGATTTTCTTGGTAGTAACAGGGATAAAGAGCCGGGCATTCATACCGAACATGGGTAGAATCAAAGGAAAATTAGGAGTTGCAAGTAAACGGGGTAACAAATACCTTTGTTTTCTGAGTGTTCGGAAACCGGGAAGACATGAGAGTTTGCTATGGGAGGAAAGTTCAAGGGACCAAAATGCTCGGCTACCGGTGAGAGTAGGAGCAAGTTGTTCTACCTAGCAACGAATGAAATCTTCTTCCACTCTTTTTGGTTAGTGAGCATTTGTACTAGGATCGAGCAAAACGGTGTTTCGACAAGAAGAAGGGGTAGTGGCATCAATTATGGATAACTGGTTTTAGACGCACAGTATAACAACAGCCATGGTGTGAGGCCGTCTATGCAAGCAGGTTTGCCGGGATGTAGAGGGTGGAATTAAAACGTGCATTCCATGAGTACAAAACAACAATATAATGGAAAACAAACAAGCCGGTAGATGTAAGTAAATGCGCAGAGAACGATCAAGATAAATGCTCACATAGAATTTTAGGGTTCATGACTAAGACGTCCTTCAAAACGGTTAGGAAAATATGCAAGGAGCGGCGAGCGCGTAGAAAAAGTCTTATTATCCACAAGTTCGTAAAAAAGTAAGTTGCACTGTACATGCGAAACAAGACAAATTCTAGTCACGTGGTTGGAAATCTATACTACGTGAACGGAGGCGTCACTTTTGACATTATCGCCTACACATGCCATTTCTTGACGTTGTAACACTGTACATAGTACTTGGCACATTCAGTAGCGTCAAATTCGATCATTCACGTACGCAGCTTACCATGGAATTGACATTTCAAAAAACATTTGGTTTCTCGCGCCCTGGTACACCGCTGATTAATAAACCTGGGACATACAGGTCAAAAATGATCTTATTGGATTAGGAATAATGATACTTTTTTGCATCCTCATATCGGATAGACAAATAAACAGTCACTTTTTCGAAGAGGATTGCCGGCTATTAAAAACGATTTGTGAATATCAAGAGGTAGAT